CCTTCCTCCTCCGCCCCAGGGACCCCTCCGTGAAGAGGACTCTCTGTCGTGGCTGCTCTTCCCTCCTCGTCCCGGGCCTCACTTGCACGCAGCGCCAGAGACGTGAGTGCTCGTGCAGAGGTGGGGACATGGAGGAGCGCTGGGGGGTGGGGCGAGGGTGGGGAATGGGGGGTTGTTGAGAGGCCGAACAGCGCCTGCCTCGCTCCCGATGGGTGTCCGCGTGGAGTTTGCAGGCGTCGGCCTTCTCCAGCTCTGGGTAAAATTCTAACTCCACTTGCACAACCCAAGGTTTGGGCTTGGCTTTTTTCCCCCAGTCTGGGCAGGTAGAGAAGTGATGGTATCATGAGGCAACGCCACCTATGCGTAATAATAGATATTATGTAGCCTCGTGGAGGACATGGTCCCATCACCATCCGTTCATTAAACAAATACTTATTTTCTAAAATGAATCAAGTACTGTGCTGGCTTCATTATTCTCAGAGAAATTATAGTCTGATAAGAGACTAAGAAACGATTAAAATAATGTAAAAAAAAGGCTTTAATTGAGGGAGTAGAATGCTAATACTCAGGCTAATGGTGGTGAGGTTCATGATACGCAAGGTAATGAGATATGGAAATTCTAGGCACGTGTGAGGACTTGGAAACTAATGACCTTGTGGTGCTGTCAAGGTAATGCTATTTCAGGAGGCTGGAGTTTGGGATGGGCAGGAGCAAGACACAAGGCTGGAGGGGGAAAATAGGCCAGATCTTGAAGAGTCTTGTTAAGGAGTTTGGACTTTATCTTAAAGAGTTCCAATAAACTGATGGAGTTTTGCAGGACCTGATACCATCAAATTTGTATTCAAATGGAGGAGGGAATTCCTACTGAAAAACAGTGGTGGCAAAACAGGATGCAGGAGACCTTTTCTAAACCTGGGTACTCTCTTCCTTTTTCCCACTTTACCCCAGGCCACAGGGGACAGCGCTGGACAGTACAGACCTGCCTAACCTGCCGACGCAGCCAGCGTTTCCTCAATGATCCTGGGCATGTGCTCTGGGGAGACAGGCCTGAGGCCCAGCTTGGGAGCCAGGCAGGTGAGAGGTGGTAGAGAAAATGATGGATATCCTAGAGGATAGGGACAGTGGGGAACACAGAACTGAAGAGGACACGTGGGTGGGTTCTGGGCTGATGTGAGAGATGTCACAGTCTGAGAAAACTAATTCTGCTCCTTTACTTATGCTTATTTACCCAGATACCAAACCACCACAGCCCTTGCCAGACACAGCCCAAACCATTCCAGTCATCCCTCCTGAGGAGAAAGTGCAGCCTCAGGGCTCTAGTCACCAGTAATAGATTTACTCCATCTTCCAAATAAATGAAGTTTAATTCCATTTTACTTTTTGTGATTCTGTTCTGTGGCTATTTTCTTTTGTTTCTGTCTGTGTTTCTCAGTATCCTTTTTTTTACCGCCTTTGAACTCTCCCCACGTAGGGAGATCCTGATTTCTTTTTTTTTTGAGTTGGAGTCTCACTCTGTCGCCCAGACTGGAGTGCAGTGGCTGCTCCCGGCCACCGCTGCCTCGACCTGCTGGGCTCCGGCAATCCTTCCACCTCAGCCTTCCAAGTGATCCTGAGCCACTTTAGGGCACTACATAGTCAATAGTCAATAGTCAATAGCCTTGACTATTGACTGAATGACTGGACAGAATGACCATACCACCACTGCTGTTTTAAATGTGGGAGTGAAATGGGGCATGGGGGAGAGTTCATGTCTTCCAGGCCCACTCACAGTTGGTCTTTATTCAATCTCAAAGTTGTTTTCTGTAAAATTCTGACAAGTGGAATGGTACAGACCTGAACTAATAAGGTCAAAGATGCTAACAAAAGGATACAGCAGACATTACACAAGTATGCTCCATGGTAAATCCTCAAAGATTTCTTGAGAATTTGTAAACAATTAAAATGTTTTCTTTGATCTCCCTGAGAGCCTACTCAAAGACAGAATTCCCAGACTGACTTCTCTGCTAGCTGCCAGCTAAGCAGATTACCCCCCAAAGTATACAAATAGAATTTGCTATTCTAATAGTGCAGTTTTCTTTCTTCTATGTCTCTAACAAATCCTTGTGTTGCACTTACCTATTGCTGCATAAAAATCACTTATTGTAGCGTAAAACATAATGATTTATTATTTCCTCTGATTGATTCTGTGGGTTAGGAATTCTGAAAGGGTTTGGCTGGGTGGTTCTTCTGCTCCATATAGGATCAGCTGAAGTCACATAGCTGCATTTAGCTGGTGTCTGGTAGCTGATCTGGAAAACCCAAGAAGTTTCACTCACATGTCTAGCACCTCTTTGCTTCTCCAGGTGGTCTTGTTACCTAGCTAACTTTGATATCCTCCCAGCATGGCTGTCTCAGGGTGGTTGGCTTTATTATATCGCTTCTGGCTCCCATTGTGCAAGTTCTTACCAAGTTTATGCTGGTGTTGCACTTGCTGATGTCCCCCTAGCCACAGTAAGCCATGTGGTCAAGACCAGAGTTAATGTGGAAGGGGCTATCCTGGAATTGGAATGCTGGAAGTTTCCTTGATTCTCTGGGCACTAACACATCCTTGTTTTGCCTTTGCCCCTGACTTGGTCTCTCCACCGACTTCTTCACGTGTCAGTAAATTATTTGCGTAAAGATACTAAACAGCCCACAGGTAACTAAATGTTTCTGAGTTATTTTTTGACAGTTTCTTTTTGGAAATAGTGCCTACCTGGGTCAACCAACAAAAACAAGTGGCGTGAAAGTACACCTTGTGCACAACTGGACCTTTTGCATCCTCAGCTCACCTCTGTGGCTCCACCAGTGAGTTTCATTTCAATGATTGAGCTATTTGGCTCTTGGACACTAGATCTAATTCTTGACCAAGTTTGTCTTGAGTGTATTATAACTGCATATGACTAAACACGTCCATAGTGACATAGCATTGGAGAAACTTTTGAGTTTTGATTTCATGGCTTAATTAAGTGATTCCTTCCATATGGGAGATCATGAAAATCAGTTCCTAGTAGGGAGGAAGACAAAACAGAATCTGGAATGTTTCACTTGGAAGTCTTTGTGGTTTCTTAATTTGTTGTATGTTTCCATCATATAGTTTTCTCTAACTCTAAAGACCATAGCCCTCTTCCTTCTTCCATGGCTGTATGCAGTAGCTCACACCTGTAATTTCAACACTTTGGGAGGCCGGGGCAGGAGGATTGCTTGAGCCCAGGAGTTCGAGATCAGCCTGGGCAACATAGAGAAACCTCATCTTTACAAAAAAACCAAAAAATTAGCCAGGCATGATGCTGTGCACCTGTGGTTTAGCTACTTAAGAGGCTGAGGCAAAAGGATTACCTGAGCCTAGGAGTTTGAGGCTGTGGTGAGCCATGATTGTGCCATTGCACTCCAACATGGCCAACAGAGTGAGACCTTGATTCAAAAAAATAAAAATTAAAATATAAAGATCATAATCCTCTTCCTCCTTCCAAAATTCTTTTTTCATGCTTATTTATAAACTATATAAAACAGTTACATATATAATGTAATTATGTTTTCTATATAATATATACTAATATAGATATATATCATGATAGTTGCATAATATATGCAAAAATGGATTTCCTGTAGGAAAGATGGAAAGAACCAAATCCCTACTATGAAATAGCTTTCTCAAGTGTTTCTTATAGTTTGGTAACTCAAAATTTGTGCCCTTTCAGGACTCTTTGAATAAATGTAAACAAAGGAGAGAAAAAAAGCTTAGGTTATTCAAATTGAATCAAGAAATGAAATTGTTCACTAGTCATGAAAACCAAGCCTTAATCATTCTGTGAACATTCATTTCATTTAGCACTTTCAAAACTGGTAAAAATGAGTAGGTGAAAATGAGAAGGATTGAGAGACTTACTCTGAATTCAAAAGAGATATAGAAAATTATAAAGATACTCATCAAAGGGAATCATAAATAATTTTCATTGTCTACCTCAACTTATTAGTTGTAAGTATCAAGTAAGATAATGTACATGGAGACACGTTAAAAGTGAGATAGAGTATTTTAATTAGTGATAATTGTAATTGTCCTCATAATAAAATGTGTACCCTAAAGCATAACTATATCACAATAAAAATGGTACCTATGCTTGGTCAGTGCATAATATATTTTTAAGATACTCTGGAATAATTATAAATAATTGGATCCTACAAAGAACATGTAGAAATCTCTTCTGCATCCTCACCCAATTCCCCTTCATTGATTCCTTTTTTATTGAGGTAAAATATACCTAAAATTTAGCATATTAACCATTCTAAAGTATACTATTCAGTGGCATTAAGTACATTTGCAATATTGTACAGTCATTACCACTGTCTAGTTTCAGAACTTTTTCATCATCCCAAACAGAAACCAGTTTCCATTAAACAGTCATTTCGAATTCCTTCCTACTTTGGACCCTAGCAACCACTAATCTGCTTTCTGTCTCTATGGATTTGCCCATTCTGGATATATCATATAAATGGAATAATACAATTTGTGGCCTATTGTGTCTGGCTTCTTTCCTACTCAGCAAGTTTTGAAGATTCAGCCATGTTGTAATGTACTTCATTCATCAGTGGACACTTAGGTTGTTTCTGCTCTCTGGCTAATATGAAGGATACTACTATGAACAGTTGTATATAAGTTTCTGGTTGAGTACTTGTTTTTCATTATGTTGGCATACTTAAGAGTGGAACATATGTTAGTTTTATGTTTAAAACTATAGTTTTGAGGATTTATCAAACTCCTTTTGACAGCTACTGTACGATTTTACATCCCTGCCAGCCATATACAACAGTTCTGATTTCTCCCCTTCCATCTACTCTTTTTACTTTTAATTTAGTTTCTTTGTTTTGTTTTTGTTTTTTTTTTTGTTTTTGAGTTGGAGTCTCACTGTCACCCAGACTGGAGTGCAGTGGCCGCTCCCGGCCACTGCAGCCTCGACCTGCTGGGCTCCGGCGATCCTTCCGCCTCAGCCTTCCAAGTAGCTGGAACTACAGGTGCACGCTACGATGCCCTGCTAATTTTTTTGATTTATTGTAGAGATGAGGTCTCACCTGCCCAGGCGGGTCTCGAACCCGTGGGCTCAGGCAATCCACTCACCTCAGCCTCCCAAAGGCGCGGGATTACAGGCTGAGCCCCGAGCCCGGCTCTCTTTGTTGTTTTTTATAGCCATCCTAGTGGGTGTAATGTGATATTGTTATGAGTAAGTGAGAAGAAGTTACGCCAGCAAGTTGTTTAATTAATTATGAATTTATTAAACGCGCGGGTCAAGAGTAGGCAAACACCAGAAAAACTCTTGGCAAATTGCTGTAGTTTGTGACAAGCTTTTATAGGTAAAATTTGCAGCATTGGTTACATAGCAATTTAGTGACCATAGCAACTATTTACTAACAACTTGGCAACCAAAATAGGAATTTCGATTGTTAGGGAGCTTTGATTAATTTCTTGTCAGGTAGGTATAGCCAATGCCCAGGAAGTCCCTGGAGTTCTGCCATTAAGATATAGTTTAAGGTAGTTTCATGGAGACAAGGAAGAAGAATTATTAGACAATGGAGTTACCTTGGTTAGGTCACTAACAGAATATAAGAACAAACAATGAAAATGTCAAAGCGTAACATTTGATTTCAGTTAACATAGCGTACAATCACATGAGAACTATGGTGTAGGAGTTCTGTAATGGTCAGCAGGTGATGGTCAGTATAACCTGCCCAAAGGAGACAAAGCTGGGGGTCTGTAGTCATGGGACTGTTACTGTAATCACACGTAGGCATTGATTCTTAGGCAGGTAACTAAGATGAGTTTTAAACAAAATGGAGTAAGCTGGTTAATATTACTACTTTGCTAGCAATTTGATTTTATTAACTGATTTAGCTTATTTCGATATCTTTGTGGTTTTGATATATATTTCACTAATGACTATTGATGTTGAGCATCTTTTCAGGTGTTTGTTGGCCATTTGTATATTTTCATTGGAAAAATATACTTTCAAGAGCTTTGCCCAGTTTTAAAAAACTGGGTTGTCTTTTATGTTTGTTTTTTTTTCCTTCAGAGTCAGGCTCTCACTCTGTCACCCAGACTGGACTGCAGTGGCTAACCAAGATCTTGATCTTCTGGGCTCACGTAATTCTTCTGCCTCAGCCTCCTGAGTAGCTGGGACTACAGGTGCCACATGATCATGCTCAGCTAATTTTTTAAAAAAGTATTTTGTAGAGATGAGGTCTCACTATGTTGCCTAGGCTGGTCTTGAACTCCTAGGCTCAAGCAATCCTCCCTCCTCAGGCTCTTAAGGTGCTGGGATTCTAGGCATGAGCCACTGCTCCTGGCCATCTTTATGCTTTGAGTTTTA